AAGTGCCATCTCTTGAAAAATCCGGCACTTACTGCTAGACGCAATTTTTGCTGTCTTTACGTTAGTTAAGCGTGCGAATTACCATAAATTGCAGTTGGAACAATAAACCTTTTTCTAAGCTTTTAATCGTAGCTCAAAAGGTCTTGTATTATTTGTTCCTGTAATCCGAAGGGGGCGAGCTACTTATTTTGTACATATGAGCTACAGAACTTTTATACCAATGAAATGTTTACGTCAGGTGATAGGTTATGATTGCTGTATGATCCGAAAAAAGATAATTTTTTAACTTTTTGTCGTTTTTACTATAAAAAAATAGCTCGCCCCATTACATTTTATGTCTATTTCAATCCTGTAAAAGCAATTTTAATTCCGTTCAGTATCTTCGAAGTTATCGTTCCAACTGCAATTGTCGGTAATTCCCGGCCTTTCAGCATCCTCTTAACCACAAATATGAAACAAAGCGTCTCTTATTTTTCTGAAATTCTTGCAAATGCTTATTATTATCCAAATTTCCCCACTGTTCAAATTACCTCGCTGTATTCTAATAGATGTTGAAAATGACATCTATCTGTTTCGATGCATTAGCTCTTATAATTATATTACTCTCGACACATATACAACAAGTCATTCTTCCTTTAATTGACCGAATCTGCAGTCTCTCCATCGAATCAAATAAAGTAGTTATAATATTACTTAAATATTTATGTTAATTATTGTTTAAAGTATTGTGACAATAAAAATATATAATAATTATAACAATAAAAATGTATGTACATATGCTGTTATAAATGATAAATATTAGATCTTGTCTATATTTATAACTATATTTATTAAAATTTTAAATAGATTTAAAAAATCTTTTTCTATCTTTATAAAGTATGTGCATATTTAAAAATGTATTAATAATATAACAATTTATAATATAACAGTAAAATATGTGTAACAGTAAGAATTTTTAATAGTCAGGAAATAATCTAAAATTCGGAGAAAATTTTAATAAATAAAAACAATAATTTTTTAAACTGTTCTCATTTATTATATATTCTATAACATATGATATATCCTATAACATTTCCATATTATATGTATGATATAGTTAAAAATCTCACAATGTAATTAGTAAGTACAAATATGATAATTATTCAAAAGTCGAATAATTCATTATTAATTCATTATTATATAAAAGTTCATAAACTGCTTAAGTTGATAATTTAATTTCAGTTGCATATAGAAAAATCTTACACTATTATTTAAAATTCTATGTCTTAATTACATATCTATTATTTCCAATACATAAACATTTTTTACAATACAACATTTTTTATGTATACAGAATTAAAATTTTAATCATTCAGAATTCCTTTTCATTCGTTGCTCATATCAATATCCGAAACTTTTATAAACTGACTAGTTTATTAAGTGGATAGTAAGATTTTGCGGTAAATCTTCAAAATATCTTACATTCAGATATTCTAATGGATTCATCATTAAATATATTTCCATTATCGGCAACGCACTGGTTAGCGACAAATACTCCAATGAAGTAAATTTATTATTACTCAAATTCAAATATTTGAGAGATACAAGGGATTCGGCCCATCCTTCCGGCAAAGAACTTAACATATTCGTCGACAGATCTAATTCTTCTAAGATAGAAAGAGAGACGAATGCATCAACATGGATCTCATCAATTTGATTCTTTCCCATTAACAATTTCGTCAATTTCGGCATTTGCACAAAATTGTATGAGATTATTTTCTTTATGTTATTGTGATTAATATATAAAACATTGACTTCTATTTTATTTGAGATTTGTGGAAACTCTTCAAGTTTGTTGTTACTTAAATCGAGCGTTTTTAAATACTGCAAATTTGCAAATGTCTTTGGATGTAAATATTT